TGTATGCGTGTCCTGTATTCAGAATATGTTTTGCGTATGCAGAATTATCTTTGTTGTGTTTTATAGCTGCGATATGTTCTTTATATCTGTGTGTGAAAGTGCGGCCAGTTTGACCTATATATGTTAATGGGCAATCAATCCAAGTTCAAGTTTGCTTCACCCAACCAGATTCACTGTTAGAAAACCCGAATCAAATTTCTTAGCCTGATGATAGCATTATAATGAATTTTCTGATAAAAATCTTTCAAACAATATAGTTAACCATTAATTGGGTTCAATCCACAGTATAGATAAGACTGAAAGGAGAATCTAAAATAAATATACCTCAAGTTCACTCACATCCAACTAAATCAACAACGATTTTCTATTACAACTTGCATCATCTACTTATTAACCTGTTGTAATCCTTGCATCTCTTTATCCTCAGAACAGAATCTCATAAACACTGAACAAGTCGGCTTGGCAAAGAAAAACAAATGCAAATATTCTGACACATTCACAGCAATTTGGCCTCTGAGAATGCTGCCAGTGCCATTAGAGGTGTTTGGGGCAAGAGACCTTAGCTTGAGTAGGGTGCCTGGCCTCTGTTTGGACGGCTGATGATGTCAATATGAAGAATGACAACTTAAGATTTGCTCAGATAGCTAAATGATTCTCCACCACTACAATAAAGTCACTTTCACAAGCAAAAGCACACGTAGACGACAATGTAAAGTACCAAATGTTGCCAATATGACACTGAACAAAACTGAAATGTTTCTTCAAAAATTCCCTAACATAAAACATCTTGAAAATACAATTTGTTGTTTGCTCTCAAGTTCTTACAAATAGACAGAGGAATAGGTACAGTGAAGATATCAGGTACATTGCTGTAGCTCTTAGTTTCAAATCTGCTTAAAAATAAATCAGAGAAAAGTCTATATTATGCGGGTCCCTAGTAACTACATCATAGAATGTCTTCTGGCTGTGGATTAAAGAGAAGACCTCATGATGTAGGGGTAACTATTTCATTCTAAATACA